GCGGAGCATGGGGGGCGGGTAGCCGGTACCGGGATGGGTGGTGGGGGGGCGGTGCCCAGGGTGGGGTGCGCGGAGCATGGCGGGGCCGGTACCGGGATGGGGGGCGGGAAGCGGGGGGGCTGGTGCCCGGTGTGTGATGCCCCCCAGCAAAGGCTGTGGGGTGGGCAGGGGCTGTAGGGAGGGTGCGGGTGGCGCTGGCACCCCGGAGATGGCAGTGGGTCCTTCCCCTGACCCCATCCCCTCCCCCTTGGGACTGTCCGGTGCGCTTTCCCCGGGGCTGAGCGGGGGACAGGAGCCGGTGGGTGTCCGCACCCGCGGGCCTGGGGAAGCCGCCTGAGATGCTGTGCGAGCTGCCAGCTCAGCCTGGCAAGGCGCCGTGCCCGAGCTGGGAGCTGTTCCTCCTCCGAGCCCAGCCTGGTCGGGTGCTCCGGGGCCCTCCACCGGTGTCTCCTCTCCCCTGCGGGTGTTGGGGCTCCTGTTTCCCCTTTACTGCCCTCGTAGGAGTTGGAAGTGATTTCTGATAAAGTGACACATTCATCTTCCCTTCTGGGGCTCCCCGGGCACAGGGGCTGGACTTGATGGCTTCCCGAGGTCCCTTCCAGCCCTGCATTTCTATGACCTCTCTCCACCCCACCCACCCTCCAAAACAACACTGCTTCCCACACCTCTTTCAGGATCTCATCGCTTTTATAGTCGTCAGGAATTAACGGGTTTTGTACCTGCTGATTTTTACCTTATGTGTGAGGCCAGACCTGATCAACCTCAGTGGCTCATAGCTCTCAGATGTAACGCATGAGGTGACACAGCCGTGTTGCCACGGACGTCAGTGACTATCGGTTTAGTTGCCTTCTTTTGCTCAGTGCTAGGTGGGATTTTTATGATGAACCTTATTGTAACTCAAGCACACAAGGGGGCAGAGTTAAGGTTGCCATCAAAATTATAACTAATTTTTATGTCTGTTTGTGGAATTGAACTCATATCCTTAATGCTGTGTTAATTTAAGTCTCTGTGTTAAATAATACAGATTACAAATAGAATGACATTCATTAATTAAGTTCACAAGTTCGCCCAAGGTCTTAGGAATGGGTGATGCATAGGCCAAAAAATGTCACTGTGAATGGAGGGAAAATGTATTATATGTCTGAACATTTTTTAAAGCTGTTTATAGTGTGTGAGGCAGTTATTTCTCTTACAAGACAAAGGAAGGCTCTCAGGAAATTAAAGGATGGCGGGCCCTTTACCCGTTGGGGGAATCAGATAACTGAGCAGCACGGGGTCTGACACTTTGCCAGTACAACCGTTCTGTAACAGTGAATGTTATTACTCTTGTTATTAAGTACTTGGATTATAGTGGCCCATCCAGGATCAAGGCCCCATTGTGCTGGGCTCTGAGCAAACATGTAAAGACAAGATCCCTTCCCTAAACAGCTTGCAGTATCAATGGTAGGCTGAAGAAGAGATATCAGGAGTAATCTGTAATTTAGCCTTAAAAATGTCAGGGAATGCCTTGAGCAAAGAATAGATGTAGTGAACAAGTGTATACATCAAAATATGTAAATAAAAACTTTGGAGGGAGGGGTGAAAGCAATCAAATAGATACAAAGTCTATTTATTTTTTATTGTCTATTATTTATAATTTTATACATTTCATTGTAAGATGTTGCTCGTGCTCTTTGCAGTCTGTTCTGCAGGAGCCAGAGAAGCAGCAAAGGATTCTGATTTCAGTGTGGAACCTGTCACATTCAGGCCTGACTAGCAGGATTTGCTCAGTTTACTTGGGGCTTCTTCCTGTGGTTGAAATGATGCCAGAGTCTTTGTCCCGCTGGCCCAGGCAGCTCACCCAGACACGTTTATTTAACACCTAGTCAGCATTGAGAAGTGACTAGGAACCAGAAAGGTGCTCAGAATTCAACAAGACTGGTTGGAAAAGGCTTAAATGAAAAAATTGCTATTTTGTCTCCTAGATTCATAGATTCCGGGGTGGGAGGGGGAGTAGTACTATATGTGAAAGAAAATGTAGAATTAAATGAAGTAAAAATCTTAAATAAATCCACGTTTCATAGAATCTCTATGGATAGTAATTCCATGCTCTAATAAGAATGTAACAGTAGGGATCTTATTATCAGCCACCTGACCAGGACAGTGATAGTGACGATGAAATGCTAAGGGAGATTAGAGAGGCTATCAAAATAAAGAACTCAATAATAGTGAGAGATAAAAAGGCCTCTTTTAAAAAGTGGAAGTCAGATCCTAGTGAGGTAAATAGAAAGGAGCATAAACACTGCAAATTAAGTGTAAAAATGTAAAAGAAATGCCAAAAAGGAGTTTGAAGAACAGCTAGCCAAAACTTCAAAAGATGATAAAATGTTTTTTTAAATACATCAGAAGCAGAAATCCTGCTAAACAACCAGTGGGGCCCCTGAACGATCGAGATACAAAAGGAGCACTTAAAGACAATAAAGTCATGCGGAGGAACTAAATGAATTCTTTGCTTCAGTCTTCACGGCTGTGGAGGTTAGGGAGATTCCCAAACCTGAGCCGTTCTTTGTAGGTGACAAATCTGAGGAATTGTCACAGATTGAAGTGTCACTAGAGGAGGTTTTGGAATTAATTGATAAACTTAACAGTAACAAGTCACCAGAACCAGATGGCATTCACCCAAGAGTTCTGAAACAACTCAAATGTGAAATTGCGGAACTATTAACTATGGTTTGTAACCTGTCCTTTAAATCGGCTTCTGTACCCAATGACTGGAAGATAGATAATGTAATGCCAATATTTA